TGAGACAAAGTGTATGTGAACTGCTGTATGGAAAGTGAATTTGCTCTGTAAATTTTCACCCAAATCACAATTTAAAAAAAAAGAAAAAGAAAAAAAAGAACAACCTGGTACAGTAGAAGTTGTTGGTTCCAGTCATCCTAGAGGCCCATGTGGATTCTTATATTTCCCATTGTTTAGTTAGTGAGCCAGTTAAGTCCTTATTCAAGCTTGTTTGAATTGGTTTTAGCAGACTGCAACCAGAGAAGTCCCAATAACTTTGTAGTCCAATATAATCAATAAAGTGGAAAGTGCAATAAATCCTACCTGGGGAGCTTTAGTGAGGAGAAGAGCAACTTCTGGATTATTATGGTAACGAGCCGTCTCCAGTGGTGTCTGACCTGCCTAAGTTAAGGCACACAGAGGATAGATGAGTGAGGAGGCACCAACCTAGCACACACACAGCCCTGGGTCAGCCCTCACCCCCCGCCCCTGTCTCCTCTAAGCCTACACTATTTCAGGAGGGCAGAGACCACAAGTCAGTCTCAAGGGAAAAAGAGTGCATGAACTGGAAAGGAGGTCTAGTGGTATAGTGCCTAAGGCATTTGATTGCTGACCAGAAAGTTGTGATTCAAACCTACCAACCACTCTGCTGAAGGAAGACTGGGCAATCTACTTCCATAAAGATTTACCACCTGGGAAACCTAAAGGGGGTTCCCATGAGTTGGAATCTATGCGACGGCAGTGAGTTTTGGTTTGTTATGGCTTGCTGTAGAAGGGGGGGGGGGCAGGAAGGAAAGAGGAAGGGGAGAGAGAAGGAGAGGAATCCCATCTGAGAAGAAAGACTCTGATGGCCATTTTACTGAGGAGCACATGTGTTTATAGGCCTGGGATTCACTTTTGGTAACACCTACTTGTCAGTTTACTTAGAGACATCTCTTAACTTCCTTGTCACGTTAGTTTGTGCACATTGCAGCTACAAGTCTAGACATGGGGCCTTAGGCCTTATCAACTCATGAGGCTCAAGTCCCATCCCCTGTCCTCCGTTGCCTGTCCCTCACCTGTCTTGTACTCCCCTCACCCCCTCCACCCCCCCAACAGCCAGGTCCCTTGGTCTTCCAGGGCTCAGCTGGGCTAGGCTGCCTGCCCTTGGAGTCTGCGGTTTAGGTCATAAAAACACACTCCACTCTGAAAAGGGATGGAAATGTCTTTAGAAATCATTGTTGCCACTCAACTTACATTGTTTACTATGGTCCCATCTGCTCCAGCTTCCAATAAAATTTTAACCACTTTCTTGTGATTTAGGGCAGCAGCAATATGAAGTGCTGTTTCACCAGCCTGAAATTAATCAGAAGAAAGGCTGCTAAACCCCCTTCGATCACAGCCCACAGCCCTCGCACTTTTCCTCACATGGCCTAGTGCTGGGTCTTCAGAGTTAAACCAAGGTTTGCCTGAGATGAATATGGGTGCTTTATTAACATTATGGGGCTCTTCTCTTTCTTTCTTCTTTTAATCATAAATTTCCATTTATTTTAAAATGGTGATAGAGAAATACTTACCTACATATTAAAATTCTGAAAGGAATCAGAAGAAACTGTTATTATCTAAGGCAATGGATAGGAGATGAGGGTAGGGGAAGAGACATTTTCTTTCTCTTTTCACTTTATACCATTTTTACTATTTAAATTCCTTCATAAACACTTATACTACTTTTTTTTTTTTTCTTGCAACTTACAGTTTATTCTTAACAATGTATCACAGACATTTTCCCAGGTATATAGATAACCCTTTATTTATTTACTTTTGGTAAATAATTTTAAAGCAAACAGCAACGATCATGTCATTTTGTTCATACATATTTCAATATGCATCTCTAAAAATAGAAAAGTACTTTCTATTGGAAATAATCTTTTTATAACTTTTAAACTAAAAATAGTTTATCAAAAATACATTCTAAGTGGCTCTTGTCTTTTAAAAGAGGATTTGAGAAGAAGGGGGCCCAGAGCCTTGCACTGAAGTAGAAGGATGGACAAGTAGACCAGGGGAGGCAGAGTGGCCTCCTTGGGCTCTAGACCATGCTTCTGTGGCCTAGGTGGGTGGGAAGGCAGAGGACACCTGGCATTAGAAGTGGTGAGACCAAGAAGGAGAGGCTGCAAAGAATATGCTACTTCCTCAAGCTCTGTGGGGGTGATACCCTAGCCCTGCAGCCACCCATCTGGATCTGAAGGAGCCACTGGGAAGCAATCTGCAGGCTTGGGGTGTTCTTTGTTTGGGTGGAAACACTGAAAGTCAGTGTGGAGACTGAAGAGCAACTGCTTTCCATTTCTTTCCAAATAAAGTTTTCCTATTTCTTTATACAAAAAATATGTTTTCAGACAGTCAACTATGAAAGGAGGGTAAGGACAACTGCAGCTTAGTGGGCCAATTCCAAATGCAAATGCTGTTATTTTCCAAACAGAAGAAACAAAACAGTACATTCCCTCGCCCCTGTCAGGTGATCAGGTAAAGCATGCTGATGCCCCCCCCCCCCCGGGCAGCATGAAAATCCAGCCATCCCTATGGCCCTCTTCCCTCTATGAGTAGGCACGAAAAATGTTTATTTCTGGGCACTTAGTTGTGCTTGTTGGGAGAAGGCTCTGTAGCAGTGGTTTCCAAACTTGGCTGCACACTGGAATGAGCCAGGGAACATTTAAAAATTCTGCTGCCCAGGTGCCACCTCCAACAATCCTGATCTAAGTGGTCTGGGGTGTGCCTGAGCATGAGGATTTTTAAACGCTCTCTGGGTGATTCGAACATGCTGCCATGGATGAGAAGCACTGGTCTGTGGGGGCTGCATAGAGATAACCGGATGAACTAGAATCCACTGAGAAGTCTATAGAATGATAGAACATAGCTGTGTTATTGGGTCAGTGGTTCTCAATCCTGGCTGCACACTCAAGCAGGGTGCTTTTTAAGAATACCATTGTCTGGATTAAACTGGGGTGAGGTCTAGGCATGTTTTATTTATTTATTTATTAACTCCCCTGGTGATTCTAAAATGTAGCTAGGACCAGAAACCACTGTTTAAAACTAATTACAAGCTATTGTTTTTCAAAATTTCAGATTTATGCACCCGAATGCACAAAAACTAAACAATGTGTCACTGAGTTATCAATAAATACCAAGAACTTAAAAAAAAAATAACCCAATGGCTATAGAAAATCATTCACATTTCCATGGTACACTATAATAATCATAGCTTTGTTTCAAAATGCAATATACACATCAAATTGACAAAACAAACTCGAAATGTTAGATAGGAACTGTAGGGGAAAGTGAGTTTATGTTAATGGGGGAGGAACAACTCAGGAAAAGAGGATAAGAATGGTCGCACAACTCAAAGAATGTAATCATTGCTCTGTAAACGTTCATCCAAATCACGATAAAAATTTAGAAAAAAAAAAAAAAGATGTAATCAATGTCGCTAAATGGTCCATGTAGAAACTGTTGAATTGGTGTATGTTTTGCTGTGTATATTCTCAACAGCAACAAAATAAAATTTAAAGGAAAGAAAAAGACAATTCAAAAGAGAAACAATAAACATGTCAACAAGTTTTAAAAAATTATAGTTAAATGCTGATACATAGGTGAAAAAATAAATTTTCTTTAGCAGCAATAAATCCCACATGAAATAAAGGATGGACAAGTAGACCAGGGGAGGCAGAGTGGCCTCCTTGGGCTCTAGACCATGCTTCTGAAAAAACAAAACTCAATATATGAAAAACCCATATATGGCACAGAAACAGATCATGTACCCAACTTTACAGAAATGAAAGGTACCATCGGCCCAAATAAAAGTAAGTGGCAGTGCGAGGGACAGAAGTCAGGGAGTTATGAGACTCAACTCCTTTGCTTTTTTACCAAGTCAGCTATTCCTTGTAGGTTTCCTTTTAGAAATCTATTTAAAATATGCCCTAGGATCTCCAGAAAATGTTCAATATGTAAAATGTGGTGATATGCACTGGAATGATAAGGGAACAATCATCTAGAGGCCAGGTAAGCCAGGGCCCCTGGAGGTCAATGGTATACACATGCAAAGGCCTTGATTGGCAGAATCTCAGATAGGCCAGTGGGTACCACCTCCCAGCAGCCTCTGCTCCCGTTTACGCCACATAGCTTGACATTTTGCCCGTGGAAAGGGTATCTGGAGGCCATGGGGAGGACACATGCACTGACCTGGTTCTTTTCATGGACAGAACAGAAAGCACTGAGGAGGAGCCTAATGATGGACAAGTGATTATAGCGCGCAGCAACGTGCAAACAGGTGTCTCCTGCCTGCGGACAGAAATCAAACTCTAAGCATGGTCTGAGCAGTTACAAAACAAAATAGAAAATAAAAATAAAAGATCATTTAAAACCTGGCAGACTATCATACATTTTTTAAGGGATGTCAACCTGAATTACAAGCATCTCTGTTAACAAAGGTATTCCACTCCCGGCCTTGGCTGCCACTGCTGCTGCCTACAGCCCCGCTCACTTTATGTTACGCAGGGCAGCCATAGAGCCAACCCAAATCCCTGCTTTTACATTTCACACAATGGATGCTTGTTCCCTGTGAGACCTTTGGAAGAGCTAGGGCAGGCCCTGCTTACTTTACATTCAGATAAGGCAACACTACCCTGGCCTCCCCTACCACCCCAAAGTTCTGGAATAAACTTTTGAGACCAACAGCTCTGGTAGCATAGTGCCTAAGGCACTTGCCTGCTAACCAGAAGGCTGGTGGTTCAAACCC